ACCCTCTAGGCAGAGCCTAGGTAGGGAACATGGCAACGGCATTGCATGGGTTGAGTCGCACACCTACTCTGCAGACAGTTTCACGCAAAATGTCAAGCGCCCGCTGCGCGAGAGAGGGAGAGAGAGAGAGAGAGAAAGAGAGAGAGAGAGGGAGAGGGAGGGAGAGAGAGAGAGAGCAGCTCATCGGCCGCGAGCGCAGCATTGACAATATGCACGTCATCAACAAAGGACGAGGTGGGACGAACAGGATGGACGTCGACAGCGGCAGCAAAAAGTTGCTCCAGGGGGGGGGGGGCTTTCCACTGCAGATCCTCTGAGATCATGGTGATGTCGACAGAGGCGCGAGTGAGCCCGCTCGACAAAGTTGAACACGCCCGCTGCAGAAATGCCCCCAAGTCCCGACCCCGTTCGAGGACAAACATGTCCCTGGCTTCCGTTGACCTTCCAGAAGGCTCCCGTTTGGCTCTCCTGGAGCAATTCTAAGATGTAAATGGCCCGTGGTTTCCCCGTGCGCGGGCGCGTCAAACTCAAGCTGCAGCAACGAAGTGTGAATCAAGAGTTCTGAGTTGTCATAGCTTTCCAGAATGCGCGCCACGTCTCCATGCCCCCTGGGCAGAGAAAGCGCGAACTGTCGGATGAGAGAGTAGAAAGCATAAGAGAGGCCGAGGAATATGGCAGCGTGTACGGCCAATCTCCGCGGCACTCCAACGTGGCCAAAAGTGCGAGACGAGGCGTCGCGCGACCTGCCCGCCCCCCCACCCCCCTGTTGAGCTAGCGACAACATGTTCTGAAGCACATGCGAGGCTCGGCTCCTTATAAAGCGATGGGGAAGTTTCCCTATCGCGTTTTCTTTCATAATGTTCCTCTCGTTTTTGGCGAGAAAAACTGCCTTGGCCCCTGCGTAGCACCAGGCCGCCCGCCCGCCCTCGAACGCGGGCGGCCCCAGCCCCGCGAGGGGGACTTTGCAGAGCAGGGGGGGGGGGCTCGGCATTTCCTCTGGGGCCACCCGACACACCGCGTCTCCGAGCCCATCGGGTCCCGCAGCCGCGTTCATCGAAGCTCTGCGCGTGAGGAAACGCGCATCAAGGTGGGTGGGAAAGCAAAGGAAGTCACGCAGGGTGGCACTGTGCCCATCTACTTGCTGCTTCATGACAGGGAGCTGCGCCTCGATCCATGATCCCCCCCCTACACATCCTTCGATGGGGTCGCAATATCGCAACCTTTCGTCGTCGCGCGGTGGCATCGGCGACGGCGCCACTCTGTCATCGGGGGGCGTCGCTATACCGTCGCCAGCACCTCTCACACCCCGGTGCTCGTCACTATTGCAGGGGCAAGGGGGGGGCGCGCGAGCAGTTCTGGCGCTGATTTTTCAACGATCCCCGGGACCCCTAGAGCTTCGCCGTTTTTCAATGCCCCCGAAGTGTTCCTGCACGTGCTGGGCGACCCCTTGTGAAGTAGGCGAAGGTTGCGCACCGGCATTGAGCGCGAAGGGGAAGTCATGTTTTTTGTTTCTGCCTCCGAAACGCAACTACTTCACGCGGTTCTGCCACGCGCTTCTCGAGACACATCGCCGCCCAGGGAAACCCGGGCACGTAGAGCCAAGTCTTCGAGAAACGCAACTCCATCGACTTCGAAACCTTTCGCGAGGACGCGCTTGGATTGCGCGACGAACGCGCGAAGGGCAAACCAGAAGTACTCAGGGGGGTCGCGAGAGGAGAGAACGCGGCACGCGACTTCACGCACCCGCTGATACAAGGGATGCCAATAAGCATCCTTGTGTTCTCTAAACCATTTGGCCACATCTCCAGAGATCCATATGTTCGCAACGCGCCTCAGAATGTCGTCGACCGAAACTCCCAATGGAAGCTGCGACGTAGCAGCCGCTTTTCTGAGAACGCACAGAAGCCCCCTCCTGGCAACAACAAGCTGGTAACTAGAAGGGGAAGTGTAAGGCTGCTTCGGGGTGCTCCCTTTCCTGGCAAAACAAAGAGCCACAACCTGCCTCACCGCATCCACCATGTGAGCTGATGCTGGGGTGCCCCATGGTTTGGCGTCAATGTCCCTGAGATGTTCCCCGAAATTCCTGGGCACGGGTGGGGTCCCGAAGCATCACACTGTCGATCCTAGAAAAGACAGCACACATTCTCACGCTCGAATGCGTGTACTGAAACGTCCGAAGAACTGGGATGTAGTCACGCTATTTGGAGAAGTTGTCAAAGTCCTGCAAGACACCAACTCCTGAGGCGTTTTGCGCGAGCCATGTCTCTGTGCACGTATAACCGATGCGATGATTAGTACCTGGCGTTCTCACAAATGTAGAGTCACCATCTTGGCTGTGGAAAGAGTTGGCAGCACGCATGTCCAGTGGGCCTCTTTTCGCGGGCCTCTTCTCGCGGCCTCTTGCCGCGTGCGCCAGTGGGGTTGCATTCGCGGGAGCGTTCGTGAAGGTATTTTTTGAGCCAGTGCACGTGGAGATCTTCATCGCGCTGGTGTGCGTCGACGCTTTCTTCGCGCGGGTGCTGGCGAAAGTCTTCCTCACGTGGGTGCTCGCGAGGGTTTTCGCAGCGCAGGCAGTTGTTTGACGTCTACTTCACGAATTTACTCGCGGAGATCTTCGTCGGGCGGGTGCTTGCGGGCCCCTCCAAGCCGGCGCTGGCGGAAGGATTCCTCGTGGGAGTTCACGCAGGCATTCTTCAATAGCTGGAGGTCGTGGAGGGTTTCTTCGCGCGGGTGCTGGCGGTGTTTTCCTCGCGCGGGTGCTCGTGGAGGCGTTCTTTGAGGGGGTGCTCGCAGAGGTCATACTCGCGATGGTGAAGGTATTCTTCATGCAAGTGTTCGTGGAGGCCTTCTTCGCGCGGGCGGTCGTTGTGGTCGTCTTATGCAGGCGCCCGCGGTGGCCTTCTTCATGCGGTTGCCCGTAGAGGCATTATTCGCGGGGGGGGTCGTGTAGGCTTTTTCAGCCGGGGACCCTAGAAACTTTCTTCTTCGAGAGGCTGCTCGCGGAGGTTTTCCTGGTCGGCGACGCGCGAGTGGGTCTGAGCGTCCCTCCTTTGAGGTGGACTCATCATCTTTTAGGCGCTCATGTCGGCCCCGTCCGCTGGCGTACGCATGGCTCCGGAACGGTGGTGCGCAGTGCGGGGTCCTGACGAGGACGCACGCCATCGCTCCCTGGCATGCTGCGGCAGTGCCGGAACGTGGAGCACCATCGACGGCACCAGCAACATCTTTCAGCGGCGAAGCCTGGTCAGGCGGAGTCGACGGACTGCGGCATATACGCAGTGACGCAGAAAAACAGATCATCATTATCATCATCATCATCATCATCATCATCATCATCATCATCATCATCATCATCATCATCATCACCATCACCATCACCATCACCATCATCATCATCATCATCAACAACATCACCACCATCAGCATCATCAGCATCATCAACACCACCATCAACAACACCACCATCATCAACAACATCATCAACAACATCATCATCATCACCGTCATCAACATCATCATCGTCACCATAAGCCACATCGTCATCATCATCATCATCCTCATCCTCACTATCCTGCTTCTCATCATCGTCGTCATCATCATCATCATCCTGCTCATCCTCCTCCTGACCCTCCTCCCCATCATCGTCGTCATCAGCATCATCAGCAGCAGCCAACACATCATGCTCGTCGTCATCATCATCAGCATCATCATCACACTTACCAGCATCAACATCATCATCATCATCATCATCATCATCATCATCATCGTCATCATCATCGTCATCATCATCACCATCATCATCATCATCATCATCATCATCGTCACCATCATCATCGTCGTCATCGCCATCATCATCATCATCATCAGCATCAGCATCAGCATCAGCATCAGCATCAGCATAACCAGAACCATCGTCATCATCAACATCAGCATCATCCTCATCCTCACCATCCTCCTCCGCATCATCGTCATCATAATCAGCATCATCAGCATCATCAGCATCATCATCATCATACGCCTCATGCTCCTCATCCTCATCACCCTCCTCACAAACGTCGTCGTCATCATCAGCAGCAGCATCATCAGCAACCTCATCAGACTCGTCATCTTTGTCATCATCATCGTCTTGATCTTCACCATCATCATCATCACCATCATCTGCATCATCATAATCAGTTCCCTTAGCATCATCAGCATCATCATCGTTAACATCAGCATCAACATCATCATCATCATTAAAGTCATACTCAGCATCATCGTCATCGTCTTCAGCGTCACAATCATCATCAGCATCATCATCACCATCATCAGCATCATCATCACCATCGTCATCAAAAGCATCAGCAGTGCCAGCAGCATCAACACCATCATCGTCATCATCATCATCGTCATCAGTATCAACATCATTCGCATCCTCATCATAATCCCCTTCGTCACCCTCCTCCTCATCATCATCCGGATCCTAATCCTCACCGTCATCATCATCATCATCATCATCATCATCATCATCATCATCATCATCATCACCATCAGCATCAGCATCATCATCGTCATCAACACTAACACCATCAGGATCAGCATCCTCATCTCCATCCTCATCAATTTCCTTCTCTTCCTCCTCATCATCATTATCATCCCCACCTGCATCATCAACATCACCATCATAATCATCATCATCATCATCATCAGCATCATCAGCATCAACAGCAGCATCATTACAACCGTCATCAACATCGTCATCAACATCAGCATCATCGTCATCGAGACGTCATCCGTAGCATCATCCCCTTTCTTCATCTCCTCCTCTCACTGCTGCCACCGCCGTTGCTGTTGTTCGTCATCTGCCCATTTGGCCTCTCACGATTTCCAACCTTTCTCTGTCTCTCTCGCTCAGCCTCTCTTTCTCTCCCTCTCTCTCTCTCTCGCTCGTGCCCCTCCCCTGACCCCCAGAGGGCCTGGGTTCTCCAGCAAATCCAGTGCTCTTAGGCCGACCCCCCGTCCGGATCAGCTTTCACGGTCCAATCGAAATTGGCGAAGCGCCCGTCGCCCCTCACGGAGCTCCAAGCCTGCAGAAAGACCTCCGTGTTCGCGGCGAATCCGTCCTGCCGGGGCAGCGAAACCCAGGGCCCCGACGGATCGCCGGGCGGCGACCCGTTGTCATACTTCAGAACACAGAACCTGGACTCGGAGCCAGGACCGCACAGACGAGCAGAGGGAGAAACTGCTGACAACAACGGCTTCTCGGCCATTGCCAAAAATTCGCGCTCTACGCTGTGGAGGGGCCGCGGTTCCTTCCCACCTTGCCTGGGCACCAGCGAACTCGGACGGGCGGGCACAAGTTGCATGCGGCAAGATTTCAAGGGCCCTTAGGGGTGGTGGCGTGGATGGGGGGGCAAACACGCGCCAGAAAGTTCCCTCTTTCCCCTCAGGCGGGATCGGTGACCTGAGTCCTCAAAGCACGTTCCGTGATGGCTGTGTACACGGGAGCGGAAGACTACGTTTCCTCCTCCTCCTGCTCTTCCTCCTTCTCCTCCTCAAATTCCTAATCATCCCCCTCCTTCAACTAATGTTATTCCATCGTCATCGTCATCATCATCATCATCATCATCATCATCATCATCATCATCATCATCATCATCATCATCATCATCCTCTTCGTTCTTTTTACGTTAGACCGACCGTAGCTGCAAGCTGTGGCGTTTTTGAAAGCGCTGGCGCGCGAAATACCTGGCGAGCGCCGCGGACACAGCTGGAAAATGAGCTGGCGACGAATGGAGAAGAAAGCGTAGGCGCCCGCCAGGTAGGCAGGCAAGTACTTCAGAGTAAGATCACCCTATCACCTCAACACATACTATAGAACCACTAATACCTGACACACATCCATATGATAAGGTACTCGCTGCCGTGAAACTTGGTCAACTTAAACCGCGCATGAGGCGTTTTGAAAGAGGTGAGGGGCTGACAAAGGCTGCGCTGGCTGGCCCAAAACGAACAAACAGTACGGGAAGGCAAATACAGCAAAGAAGGCAATTCTTGGGTTGTGACCCGTGTTTTTTCGGTTGCTCGGTGGGAGACCCGTTCACCGTCGCAGTTCCTGTGGGGGGGAACCCCCGTCACTGTTGCCACCAACGGGGCCTTGTTCCCCCCACCACACCCCTGTGTGCCAGCGCGGCGTACAGTAGCGCATCGCGTCCAGCATGCTCTGGCTATAAAGCCACACCGTGGGACCTTTCGAAAGAACCCATGTCACGATACCCCTATCCGTACCAAGTGTATTATACTTAACAAGCCTCTCACCGAAGGTAGATCTGAGAACAGGAAAAACGCAGATAATGGGAAAGTGCAAGTTTCTCCGCCAGCATCCAGCCGTATCCTCTCTACCCCCCTCTCCGCCACCTCCAGCATGCTCCGCCTGTAAGCCTACACCGTGGGGACATCGCGAAGGGGCCAATGTTACAACACCCCTGCCCTCGCCGAGGGCATGATGCTTCAACGGTCTATGGCCGAATGTAGACCTGAGTAGAAAGAAAACGTAGACAATGGAAAAGTGCAGGTTCTCCTCCAGTACCTCCTCTACACTCCACCTCTCCCCATACAGCATGCTCTGCCTGTAAGCCCGCACCGTGGGACATCGCGACGGGGCCAATGTTACGATAGCCCTGCCCTCAACGAGTGCAGTCTACTTCAACGGCCACGCACTGAAGGTTGAGCTGCGCACCAAGAAAAAACGCAAATGATGGGAAAGTGCAAGTGTTCCTCCTCCTCCTCCCCAACGCAAAGCGCCGCCAACTCCATCAAACCAGCCATCCATCCTCTCCGTAGGACAACGCGCCAAATGCGCGCCGGGGTGAGTGCGGCGATGTAGAAGATGCTCGTACGCACACGGTGCGTACCACGCATGCAAGCAAGTTACTTGATTGAAAATGGTACCACACATGTTACATAAGACAACAGCCAGATCCACCTCCACCTCCTCCTCCTCCCCCTCCTCCTCCACCTCCTCCTCCTCCTCCTCCTCCTCTCCCTCCTCCTCTTCTTTTCCTCCTCCTCCTCCTCCTCCTCCTCCTCCTCCTCCTCTTCCTCCTCCTCCTCGTTCTCGTTTTCCTCCTCCTGCTCCCCCTCCTCCTCCTCCTCCTCCTCCTCCTCCTCCTCCTGCTCCTCCTCCTCCACCTCCTCCTCCTGCTCGTCCTCCTCCTCCTCTTCCTCACCCTCTCCTCCTCCTCCCTCCTCCTCCTCCTCCTCCTCCTCCTCCTCCTCCTCCTCCTCCTCCTCCTCCTCCTCCCCATCCACCTCCTCCTCCTCCTCCTCCTCCTCCTCCTCCTCCTCCTCCTCCTCTTCCTCCTCCTCCTCCTCCTCCTCCGCCTCCTCCTCCTCCTCCGCAGTCGAGAGGAACCGTTCCTCCACGTCGCGGCACAAGCGGAGCCGCAATCCATGTCCGCCGCGCCCTCGGGTGCAGGCTAGCCCGCGCGGCCGGCCTCTGTCAGTAGGCCTTGCGCCAGAGCGCCGGCGAGACGGCGTCGACGTCCAGCTCGCTGCCCTGCTCTCTCCCCACGTCCAGCCCCCAGATCTCGACTCTGGTGATGAACGTGTCCAGGTCGTTCATATCTGGCTCCAGCTCCCAGCGTTCCCTCCTCATGCCGACGGTTGCCCAGACGATCGCGTGACCTGTGAACCTCCTGCCTCCGCGCGAGGGTCCACCACATATGAATGCAGCGTGGTCAAACGCCGCCTAAGACCAATAGGCAGTGCTCAATTCGAAGGTAACTTCTGGAGCACACGTCCACTCGATCTCCACGCCTTCGCCTCATGCTCCAATCTCCACCATCCGCACGCGACGCACATCAGCGCCTCTCGCAATACACTTCCTTTGGTCAACCCGTCTGCGCAGCAATCTCGTGTATCGATCCACCACAACGTACGCAATGCCGATCGATCCAGCAACTCTCTGACCCACTGGGCGTGATACAACGTGCGACGTTCTGCTGGAATATGAACTTGCTCTGCCGTAATACCGGTAAACACATTTTGCACATGCACGCAAGTTTCTAACGGTATTGCTGGCTGCGTGCAGTTCTCGGAACGATCCACCATGTCGCGAAGCTGTCTAGCACTCAACTCTCCGTTCTGAACTTCAATCAAGAGACCCACCAGCAGCTGCAGATAGTCGCATCCATCCGATAGCTGACGCAACTCGGCTCCCAACGTGCTGAAGACAATGTGGGCCGGCTTCCGCGTGTAATATTCCAAAATATTGCATTCACCTCCAGGGCCTCCCCCATCTTCCACCAGCAGGTACACTGCTCCTCGCGTGGCTAGTCCTTCGTCATCTGGATCTCGCCCAAACGCTGCATCTCCAAGCGTGACCAATTTCACTGGCAACGATAGCCTCAGAGACACGAGGACCAGCGGATTCTCCTTCATGTATCGCAGCAATATGTCAATATTCTTGATGTGGCCGACTCAAGGACGCTTGCCCTGCCTCTGGAGCGCAGCAACATGGATGCAGATGTCCACTCTCGCCATGATACACCACGCGATCGCTCCAAGAAGGGCAGGATACAGCTTCGCCCCGGAGGTTCCGCGTCATCCGCCATGCCTTGCAGCTCTTTCTCGTCGACGCAGCTCAGGTTCTCGACGTACTCCGCCTGGCCCACCTCGACGCTCATTTCCCCCAGCTGTCGGCGGCGCAGGCCGCAGCGTATGAAATTATTATCCTGCACGGCCAATTTCCCGAACGCTGCCCCCGACGCCCGCGCCAGCTCGGACGTGGCCTTTTCGCGGCCAGCGCACTTCAAGTCGTCTGGGTGCGTCGACGCCACCATCGCCAAAACTCCGTTCTCGGGCTTCAGCCAGAGCTGCGGATCCGCGCGCGCGGCCCGCAGCCCGATGGACAACAACACCTGGTCGCGGCGAAGACCGGAGAGCCGTGGAGAATCGTTCAAACCAAAGCCGCACGTCTCCGCGTGGAGAACCTCCAGGACGCCGCCGAAACCCTCGAAGCCTTCGACTTCGCACAAAAGCTCGGCGGAACCCTTCGGCAACTCAAAACATATGTCGAATAAGCTCATTCAACAGCTTCGCCACTTCCTCAAACGTCGCGCCTTGCAAGAACGCCGAAAAGATATCCACGCTGCGCAACTTCCACTGGCGCTGAGCCGCCAGAATGTTCGCCATCCTCTGACCCCGTCGCGCGATAGTGCCGGCGAGCGTCTCCACCTCGTCCTTGCGCCGATCCTCGAAGCCTCGCACCATCAACCTGCTGCGTATGATTATCGTCGCAGCGCCATCCGATGCTTGCGTCTACTTCCACTTGTCCAGCCACTTCGCGTCGATGATGTTCTTGGCGCCTCCCCAGCTTGTCCTAGACGTGGCCTTGGAACCAGCCCAGCGACGCAGCTCCTTCAGACGAGCTGCTCGAAGGGCTTCACGGCTATCGATCTTCTCGGCTGGCGCCAGGATGCTGTCGTCTCTCTCGATGGCCGGCTTTGCGGCGCCGTCCTCGTAGAAGCTCAGCGCGACCACGTCATTCTTGTGTCCTGGACCCCCCGCGACGCGAGGATCGCCCATCATCCTCCACGCTTCCGCCGCGAAGCCAACCTGCATCGCCTTCTCGGCTTGCGGGGGATGCACAATCCCCGCCGTTGCTCTGCCGCGGTTCGCCCCCTGGCTCCCCCAAGCCTCCACCGCGTCGTGATCCGAGACCACCTCACTCCATCCGAGCACCAATGTGTCGGGCTCCTCAATCAGATAGCTCGGCAGCTCCAAGTCGCCCTTTTCCGTCTCGTACTCCCCCTCTTTGGCGATGGCCCACAGCGCGCCCATCGAAAATAGCTCCTCCATTCTTCTGGATCCGCCTCCGAGGTCCCCTCGGGCACGGACGCCTCGACAGGCGGCGGGAGTTGTGGAGGAGGCGCTGGAGGTGGCTCCGGTGGATCATCTGCCAAGAGCCTTGCCACGTGCTCACTGAGGTTCTCGGACTCCTGGGACCCCGCCGAACGCGGCCTCTCGGGCATCGAGCGGGGCCCTCGACGCCAGGCGCCCACGCTCGGCAAGCGAGGCCCTCCAACATGTGGCACCGCAGGCGCCTGCGCTTGAAGTATAT